TTCTCTATGTTACTGTTATACTGGCTCGGTCACCGTCAGGGTTACCAAGGTAAGAATAGGCTGACTGGCTGTAGGGAAACTGAGAGAGATTATAAAACGTCGGCGATCAGAACCTGCTTGATATCTTCAGTCAGCTGGAAGCACAGTCGAAGATTGAAAAGAGGACAACGAATATACCATTCAGCAACAGAGCAGCTGCCCTGTTCTGAACGGAAGAAGCAGACAATACGATGCCATTAGAACACATCAGACCATTTTTTACAGAAATGATACCGACAGTGCGAGTTCACAGTTCAAAATTGAACCATCTCCTCACTCAGAAAGAAAGAGCAGGAGCTAGTTGATTGAACGAAGGTAGTGATTGGATATAGTTGAACTCTTTTCAACAGAACGTCAGAGCTCTGGAATTCCATACCGCACAATTCTGCAGTTGAAAGCTTTTCTACTCAGCTGTAGACTCTATGACCCCTTCTGAATATGGTATTGATGTTTTGGTAGAACTCTGATCCGCTGACAGAATTATTTATTGGATGCTTTCCAGTGGAAGAGTGGCAATCATCCGACAATAAACGAAAGCGTGACCATGCTACGGGTAAGTGTGCCCATTTAAAATGGAGAACATGAATTCATCCTGGAGGAATAAGAAGATAGTCATAAAAGCCCTGGCTAAGAAATCAATTCTAATTTTAAATTCTAATGGACGATTTCAATTCACATTTGAAGCAGATACTGAAAAGTGAAATATCGTGATTGGAAAGAACGGCCCTGGCTATCTTAACAAAGTGGAATGATGCTCTGTTGCGCAAACAATGGAATGTCTGTTGTAGGCATCTTCTTCGAGAATCGAAAACTCCATCAGCATGTGTGGTAAAGGAAAATTTGCGCAAATGAGTCGATTTTCAATTTGATAGTCGTGGCCAGTGACGGCCTGTAAGGATTTTCTCGTTATGACAAATGCCGAGCTGCCAACCGATCATCACCACGTTATAATTTATAACGCCGCGCCTAAATAATTTATAGTGGCAAAAGCTATATTTTACTGTAACAGTACTGGGAACGTTGATAAGAATGAAACTATGTGAACTTGTTTCCTGACATAAAGAGGACAAGATTTCTTTCCTATAGCTTCACTCTCTGCAAAGTGGTAGATCACTATGAGATAAATCTCCATTACTCATTGAGTGTATTGCATCCTAATTCCTCTCTAATTCGTTTATCCTGTTCATATCTTCGCGTGGGTGGTAAGGCAAAAGTGAGAGGATATTGTTTAAATCCGACAGCCATTTTTAATCTTTTCGGAGGCACTGTGTTTCATTGATTTCCACGCAACCGTGGATTACTGGGTTCTTGATTTTTATACATTTTCATGTCTACATTCAATATGTCACGTCATTATTAATTGATTTCTAATTATCTGACAATTCTATTGCAAATGCAAATGGAAATTCAAACACCCCATGGTTTTCTATGACGATGATTTTAATATCAGCTAACCGACATTATTTCGACTAGTCAACATAAATCGCAGGCTTAACGGAAGGAAAATGTTGACAAAGGAATAAAGTCTAAAAAAAGAGTAACCCAAAAAACCGTTAACTGCTGTAATTTGGAAACATGAATTAATTTATAATCTAGGGCTTCAAAGCCCAATCTTCCATTTGAATCCGGAGGACCGGGCGGGCGACTTGTGACATGCCAGGAAATGCTTGGCAGAGCGAAGAAAGATGACGTGCACACTCTATACTGCAACGGGCGCTATGCACGCCAATCATGAACCCTGAATCAGACAGCTAGAGAAGCTTGGCTAAACCCATTTCAGGCCAATTATCCGCTGATATTTACGGCTACAGAAACGGCACAGAATTTGTCATTTGTACAGGACCTTATAGGTAACGGACTCGGAAATCTTACAGCCCATAAATATGGATCTCGAAAAATTGCCGCCCGAAAAATTCTTTTCATTGGTAAACTTCTGGATCAATTTGCAATGTGGAACGTGCGAACATTACGCATACGTGGAAAAATTACAATGATTGCTAAAGAAGTGAATTAGATTTGCGTACAGGAGGTAGATGCAATACAAGAGACGCACTGGCTCGAAACAACTGTTGTGACAGCTGCAAACTATAACTTTTATTGAACAGGGAACACTACAAAATGCGTTGCTCACACAGGTGCGTGTTGGACTGGCGGTCGATAGAAAATCACGAGCTATTGCACACAGGTACAAAGAACTTGGTGTCACGGTATTTGACCGTTATGATCTTTTGAAGCCGTGACAGGGGCTGGTGAAGTAAATGATGAATTTCAATTCGCGCTGTGAGCATGTTCCTGCAGTAGCGTTGAACCCATGACATCCTGACTGTTCCGAGTGATTTCAATGCGAAGGTGGGGAGAACAAAATGAAATGCATAGATGTTTGGGATCCCCTGGCATCAGCGAGATGAATGAAACAGTGAATAACTAGCGGAACCTTGTGAAGTACACTATCTACTTTTGGCTGCAGATATTTTGCATAAACCAGTGTATCAGTTCACTTGACGCTCATATGGCATTAACGGGAAACCAGACTGACTATTCCATCATCAGAATTCATCGAGTATATTTGAAAGATGTCAGGGTATACAGTGCTGAATTCAGCAGCGACTATGAATTGGTTATGGCCAAAGTTAAAGTCAAGCTCCAACCCTTGATTAGGTGCCATAAATGTAGCGCAAGGTTTAAAGTCGACAAGATCAAATTTCCAGAACCATCTCAAGCATATCCGGTCACGACTGGTGGAAGATTCAGGCCACTTGATGATCATGCATGCATTATATCTGCGAGAGAGTTTGAGACATAAATAAAGAGGCGATGATAAAACGGTAAGGCGGCAGGGGAGCAATCGGAGTGGAAGAAAAGACGAAAGAAATCGTGGAGAAGTATGGGCAGTAAACGGTTGCAAAAAGAGTTCATGATTGCCACAACTGATAATAAACAAAGCTTTCAGAGGGAATCATATAAAGAAATAAAAAAATTATTATGGAAAGACACGACATTTTTCTGGAAGTGATAGGCTGAATTAATGGAAGATGCATCTCGAAGAAACGATATGAACATCTTGTTTAGGATGGAAAAAATTAAGCTTCGACTAAAAATCGCATTGAGTAATGACGAAAATGTTACATTTGATCCTGTCGAGGTTGCAGAGATATGGGAAAACATTTTCAATCGCTATTTAACCCTAATGGAAATATATAAAAATTCATCTTGTGAACAAAAATTGGATGCTGATAGTAGGTCGCTGATCCTTGAAGAAGTAAATGAAGCTCTATGCAAACCCTAACCAAAATGGCAGAGTTAAAATGATGGATTACAACCAGAGATGATCAAGATGTCTGGAGCAGATGGATTAACGGCAAAATGAGGAAATCTAAAAGAATTGAACAAACGATATTGTGGTTACAATATCTTAGAAAAGCTGCTGCGCGGATCTCAATAACAGCCATAGAATAGGCCTACTCTCCATTCCTGCAAAACTGTTCCTGTGTGCTTTTGCGAATAGGATTAAATAAGTTCTTGAAAAGATCTTGGGTAAAGACCAGTCCGGATTCGGGGCAGGTAGCTAAGTTTTTTGAAGAATATGTTCCCAGTGATACAGCTAATAGCAAAAAAGAAAGAATGGGGATCCAAATATTTGCTCTCTTCGTTGATTTTACCAAAACCTTTGATTAAG